GTCTTTCGCAAATCACATGCAAGAGAAAAAAAGTTGGGATGGTGAACAAACTACCCGAGAGTCACATCAGAAAAACGTTCAAATGACCCTGATGTAGAAGAATTCAGATGGGATGAACAAAAGAAATTCCATGATAATTCACCTATTTACCCTTTATATTGAGGTACCTTTCCGAACCGTGAAGATAAGTCGACTTTGCAGAAGATTCAGTGGAGAATCCTGAGTTCGGAACTAAGTGGCACTCTCATTATCACTGAATTTTTTTCCTTTGAAGATGTGCCTTTAACCCTAGCACAGTCAACTGCTACCTTTGGGACACCAGGATGCTGATGATAATCTTATGTAGCAGAGAGCCATTGCTTCATGCTCCATGTTACTTCCTTAGGAACTTTATGGGCTTTTCTGTGCAGAAAGCTATTACCATGTGAAAATTCATTAAATCATTAGAAATTAAGACGGATTGTAAATAGTAAAACACCCCCCCACACACACACCCTTTTGGTGATTAATGCTCTGGTCGGCTGTTCTACTGTTCGCAACCTGCAGAAAACAGCTTCACTGGCCATTAGCCTCAAGTAATCTTTCGTCTCTGGGATTTTAACTTCCTCCAAGTGTAAAAGGAAAATGTTTTGAAATATCCGCAATCGGTCGACCAACACCATTGATGCCCAAGTTAAAACAGAGGAAGTTTACCAGCAACCTGGTGCTGATATCAAACAGCGTGGTCACCATTTTGTGCGTAGATCACGGTGGCTTGATTGGCTTAAGCCGCAACTGTCCTCCTAGCCGGATGTGATTACGATTATCATCAATGAAGTTTGTTCCGTCTTTTCGCACCTAAGACGAGCTGAGTACGTTCACTACCTCTATCGTTCGAGCGTATTACGAAGTTCCCCAAGGAGCGAACGGATCGAGAACCTGCAGTGATAAAGTGTACAGAGGGCCAAGCGCACGATACGACTCACCGGAAATTGTGCCATATTCGAGTTCATATGCGACCTCGAAACAGAGGGCAATAAAACAAAATAGGGTCTTTACATGAATCATAGGAATGGCGTTGAGAAGTGAAAATAACGTCATTACAGTCTTCAGAAACCCATTATTAAATTCCCAAAAGCGTTGACTGAGTAGGCGGAAAATTAAGTGGGAATATTATGACAGCAGAAACCAAACACGAACTATGACATCTGTCAAAGTGAGTGAAACTTCCTGAGACTGATGCTCTTCACAGCAAAAAATACAACGAAAGTTGAGCTATATAAAAATGAAGTTTATCTTTTTGCTTCAGTAAGACCAATGTTAATCCTGTTCATGATGAGTTTCATGTAGGAAACGATCATGGATATTAAAACACGAGTAGATCAACGGAATCAGTCATTCCTGGTAAACACAGCAAACGCTTGAAGCTTCAGTATGGTTGAAGTGGGTGTCATGTGTTGAAACGGATTAACTTTCCCTTGCGCCTAGCGAAATTCTTCCATACAAGCAAGCATCTCAAAGAGCCCCTGATGATGCCCTATTTACTGCCTTCATGTGGTGGTGTTTTCACACCAAAGTGATAGGAAATAAAGCCAACATTCGAGGCTATAACCGGGTTCACTGAGGGAAGTAGGCTAAAAACCTTGATTTCGAAACACCCAAGAGGCGTACGAACCATGCACACACCTTTCTGGTCGTGGTAGTGATCACCGGTTGGATTGGGCATCGGGGTGTATTGGATACTTTGGACGCTTGACCCCGTCCTAAGGACTTACGATCCGATGAACTGTCACCGGCCCTCAATGGATTGCGGTTTTCACACATCGCCCCGCTGCCTTGCGGGCTTTGGTTGACAGAAGGCTTCGGTTGTGAACTCCCTAAGAATATTCACCTGCTTTGGCCTAGGCAACCTGGCAGTGTCGAGCCCACAGAAGAAACCATGAACCTTTTTCATTTTTCTACAAAGATCACTGCACCATGGTTTTCTGGACACATTGTCTCGATTCAAACGTGTGTGAAATACAAATACATACAACTAGAGCGTTTCTTTGCTTCGACTCAGCTTCTTGCGCTTAGTAAAGTTTGAATTCCCCGGTAACTTGCATAGTGCAGTCAGATGTGGAGTGGAGTTTCGCCCACTTCTGTTCCCTCGTGACCAAGTCTAACGTGAGACGCTTCGCCTTGTCAACGATCCGTCCCTAACATGCACTTTGGAAACACTAGCACACCGTCGATCATTTGCTAACTCTAAAGATATGATTTTGATTTCTGTTCCACCAAACTTGCCCCTCTCGTCCCTCTCGCACTTGTACTTTCTTGTAAGTCACGTACACTCATTCCAAATATCCCCAAGTGTAGCATTTACAAATCTCAATCATGTTGCAATACTGCACGATTTATGTCGAGGACGATTTCGCTGCATCTCAACATGGTGCATACTGCAGAAAATACAATGTTTATAT